CTTTACACAACCAACATAAAGCTCCAAATCTACATGAGAACAACTTGAAAATCCTACAAACAACAATCATAATTTAATGCCCAAAATAGCATCTAAAGACTCTAATACTTGAAACATAAACTTTGCACACTTCAAGCTTAATTACCTATATTAGATATCATTAATTAAGCCTAAATTATTTAGGCCAAAAATGATCAAGTTGAATGCATCTAAATAACCTAGATTCTATAATCTATGAATTAAAGCATAAAGTAGAAATGAGAGCCAGCAAATTATAAATAAGAAAAAAAAATACAAAATCATATAAGTATATATAATCAATTAAAATCTAACACTACCAATCCAATCTATAACTTCACACAGCAATAATAATAATATTAACTTACACTCAATCGGCGGGGAAATGAAGAGGAGGCACTACAGGAAAACTAGCTATTACCGGCGGATATAATCCGACGGAATTCCTAGATTTCCGGCGCATTTACTGCGGATTTTTGTGCACCGGTTTGGTTCGCGTCGGAAAATACCTTCGGACGTTTATAAGACTCCAGAAAACTTTCCGGCGCCATCTCCGGCGCATTACCGGCGCAAAAAATGCTAGCTAAACCGGTGTTTTTCAACCGTTTATTCCGGCGATATGTGCGCCGGAAGTTTACGACGTATATATCCGACGAAAACTATCGGCGGACAAAACGCCGTAGGTTTGCCATAAATAAGCTACGGCTTGTTTCCGGCGAATAATTGGCGCCAGAAAACGCTAGCGGATACGACGCCGTAAGCAACGGTGGGCGACGATGGAAACAACGGAGATGCGAGAGAAACGAAAAAATGAAATGAGCAACCAGAGGGGCTCGGGTTCTGAAATAGGGCTTTCGCTGGCGGATTTTCCGGCGTCCCAGACGCCGACAAACATTCTGGAGCATTTTGCGCCGATTTTAAGTCGTTGAGTTTAAAAACGCCGGCGTATTATCCGCCGGTAACTGCGTCGGATATTTTCAGCCGTAAAGTGCGCTGAAACCAGTAAAATGCTGGTATATTCCGCCTTTTTTACCAGTGCATTAGTCGTCGGAACTTTTCCGGCGGAACATGCGCCGGAAAAAACGCTGTAAATTTTCCTTCGCACTATGCGCCGTTACAGATGCCGTATTTACCGACGCAAATTATTCCGCCGGAATATCCGGCGGTAATTGCGTGTTTTCCCGTAGTGAGGAATGCTCAATCTTAATCCAAGAGGAAGAAAATAGAAAGGGTTTCTCTATAGTCATTATTGTGTCGAAGGGAAAAAGAATGAGTACCTTCACTAACAGTGACAACGAGAAGGAGACGACAAGGAAGAAGAGAAAAAGGTTCGACAATAGAGAATACTGGAGCTGTAGTTAGCGCAGCTTTAATATTATCAAAACTTCCTTGCTGTTCGCTAGCCCAAAAGAAGACCCTCGATTTGAGAACATCTGTTATGGGTGCTGTGATGAGGCTAAAACCTTTTATGAACCTTATGTAGAAATTGGCCAAACCGTGGAAGCTCCTTATTTATGTGAGAGATTTTGGAACTGGCCAATCGCTTATAGCTGCTATTTTGAGGGGATCGGCACTCATACCTTCAGCTGTAATTATGAACCCCAAAAAAGAAACTGATGTAGTAGAAAACTCACATTTAGTCATGTTCAGGAATAGTTTGTGCTTTCTCAGATTTTCAAGAACCCCTTCTAAATGAATTAAGTGTTCCTCTAATGTGCTGTTATAAACCAAAATATCGTCGAAATACGCCACACAACAATGGTTAAGGAACGGTCTCAATACCTCATTCATTAACCTCATGATTGTGAACGGAGCAATACACAGCCCAAATGGCATCACTCTCCATTCGTATAGACCTTCTCACATTTTAAACGTGGTCTTTCATTCATCACCTGGCCGTAGTCGGATTTTGTGATACCCACTACGTAAATCAAGTTTGGAAAATATTTTTGCACCCACTAGTTTTTCCATCATTTCTTCCATCCATGGCATTAAAAAACGAAACTTCACTGTGATTTTATTTATTTCTCTACTGTCGACGCACATCCTCCAAATCCCATCTTTTTTTGGGACCAATATTGTCGGTACTGCGCAAGGACTTAAACTGTGTTGTATCACCTGCTTGTCTAATAACTCGTTAACTATCTGTTGTAGAGCCATATTTTCATTTGGCCTGAGTCGGTAATGCGGAAGATTCGGCAGAGTTGCACCAGGTACGAAATCAATTTGATGTTGAATTTCCCTCATATGTGGCAGCTTTGTGGGCAATTTATCAGTGCAAATATCCGAAAATCTGCTTAGCATATCAGTTTTGGTTATAGTAATTGCTCCTTAGAAGTAATGGATGAGGCTTCCTTTACTATTAAGGCCATCATATTTGCATACTCCCTCCAAGCATTCATAAGGCAGTAGCGAACAGAACAAACAGAGCATTACCTTTCTTGGGAGCTTTAGCTTCTAGCCCAGAATTGTGAGCGCAGCCAGTGGCCTTTCCAGTCAAACGAGTAAGTGTTAGCATTGTAGTCATATATATCTCCCATATCATATTTCCATGGCCTGCCCAAAATGATGTGGCATACGTCCATGTCTAGGACATCGCATAATACTTCACTAACATAATGTTTACCGATTAAGAAGGTCACTTTGTATAATTCTGTCACAGACATTTCAACTCCCTTCTTGACCTAGCTGATCTTGTATAGATTGGGATTCTTTGTGGCTTTAAGCTTCAAGGCTTGAACCATGGCACGTGAAACCACGTTCTTAGTGCAGCCACTATCTACTAATAAGTCACACACCTTTCCGCCAATTGTGCACTTGGTTCTAAATAAAGCATTTCTTTGGAACGTGGGTTTTGGTGCTAACAACAACTTCTCAAGCACACAAACTAATGGTTCGTCGACATCAGCTTCCACGTCTTCTTGGTATTGTTCAGGTTCTATGCTATGTTCGCCCGACTCTTCCTCCCCTTCAGCATCGATTAGTTGCAATTGCGGTTGTGAGGGACATTCATTGGACTTGTGTCCTTGTTGGAAGCATCGAAAACACTTAATGTTTGAGGGCATAGCATAAGGATTCTCCTTGGCAACTATCTTGCTCCATCTCGCCATTCTAGCGTCAACAGCCCGACCCAATGAATTTGGTGCTTCGACGGCTCCTGAAGTTGAGATTTGCTATTTTCCAACTGGAGATCCAGCATAACTTGAAATTCTATTGTTGTCAGTGGGTTGTTCCAGCACTGACAATGCTCGCCTGAATTTATGGCTCCTGCTGTGTCGAAGTACTTGCATTTTAACTTTCAAGGCATAATTAATAGCTTGAGATAATGACCATATGGTGTTCAGTTCCAACTTATCTTGGATTGCCTCTTTTAAACCACTGATGTATCATGCTACTAACTGATTAGTTATTTCATTCAAATTATTTCTAGCACTTAAACGGTAGAACTCCTCGGTGTAATCGTTGACAGAACGATTACCTTGGCGACAATGCTGGTACTGTTGGTATAGCATTTGTTCGTAATCAGTCAGAAGATAATGCCCACACAATAACTGTTTCATCCTCCGCCAGTTTCTCACCGGCCCGCGACCTTCCCTCTACCGCGATTGCAACACCTGTTGCCACCACGCACTAGCTACTACCTTGAGCCGACAGGCCACATACTTCACCTTCTTGGTCGGTTCAATTTCCATATATTCGAAAAAGGTTTCAACCGACCTCTCCCAATTCAAGTAGTCTTCAATGTGCAATTTCCCATCAAAATATGGTATATCTAATTTGACCCGAAATTCATTGTGAGAACAGTTTACCTCTCTCAGACGCCTTTGCTGGTGGTTTGGCAACCCTTCATCGGATTCAGAGAGTTCTAAATTTTGATATTCCTTGGCTTCTAAGTCCGAATCGGAAGCTTCTATCACCTAGGATTCCCGTTGGTGAAGCTGCTCAGCTTCTACTCCTCGCCTTGCTACCGGCACATTTCTGTTGGGAATCATCCGATCCAAAAAGATGGTAATTTCCCGTAGCTCCTGGCGTACCTCTTCGTAGAACCGATTCAAGTCGTTTTCCAGCTCCTTCGTTCGACGCCCCAATCCATTGTGCGCCGCCCAAAGAGCCTCTAGGCTGTTATCACTGTCGGGAGCCACCCGCCTGCTGCTCTCGACCATCTAGCTCTGATACCAATACTGAGGTAGGATCCAATGATAGAGGCACATGCAAACAGAAAATCAATGGAACATTAAAAGCTTGCAAGAGTTGTATCTTCTTACAGCATACAATATATTAAAGCTGTAAAAACTAAGTATATTCTTGCAGCATACAGTATATCAAAGCTAGCACAAGACAAGAGGACTAAAACGGTAAAAGCAGCTAAAAAGCTAAAAAGTAAAACATGTGACGTGGTATTAAAATTAGCAATTGTAAGTGGAAGTGGCACTCATCCAACTAACTAAAGCAGCACTGGGATAACTTGTTCAGCCTGAACAAGGTGATAAGCTCCGATGTTATAATGCTCCGCATCAGATGTCGTTCGATCCGCTCACATGCGAAGGTCGCAAAGCGCTCGTTCAATTTGCTTGCATGCGAAGGGGGTGCTCGACGATTAGCTCGTTTAGTGTTGTGCCTGGATTGGGTCAATTCGATTTGATTATAACAATAAATATGATGTAGCTAGCATTGACAATGGATAACATGGTCACACATATAGCTAAAGTTCACCAAATGGCAAAGGTCATGTGGACTAGCAAACTATAAATAAAGTTGACATTTAACTAATTCAGATGAATTACATCTTCATAAAAATAGAAAACTCTCACCGACAAATAAAAAATTGAGCTGCCTAAGATATTCTAAATACCTTTGAAAAATAACTCGATTTATCTAAATTTCAATCCTTTACATGAGAAATTTAAAAATTATTTTACAAACAAAAGTGTTTTTTTTTTTTTTTTTGCAGACACATTAAAATATCGAATGCCAACTTCAAACTTTCCGGGAAAATAACCGCAAGGAAATCAGAACCTTTTCCGTTGTTAAAAAAAAGATATCTTCAACGAGTGTGCTGATCAGATCGAAGGGAATGACAGGAAAGCAGAGATTACTCATAAGAAAATCGAGATTCTCCCGCCACGTCCCCGCCTTCCGGGACCCAAATCCCCCGCCGGAGCTATGCAATTTACTACCAACAATGGCGGCTCGTCTTGTGTCGTCAGCAACAACAAACAGAGCAACGGAATCCAGATCTTGCTGCCGAAAGAAGCTTCCTTTCTTTCATCACTTTCCTCTCCGTTCTTCACTCTCTTCCCGCTCACTTACAATCACCAAAATTCCATGGCGCCTTTCTTTCTCCTCCTCTTCTCCCTCTCCACCGCCGCCGTTGCCGCCACCACCGCCACAGCTACTGCCGACAGAGTCCGGAGAATTCTCCACGAGCCACTTTACCCCATCCAGTGGACTCCTCCACCTCCGCCTTCTGACGATCCTTACCCTTCAACTGAATCCCCTACGCCGCCGTTCCATCCCTCTGATACGCATCACTCTAACTCCGGTCCCACAAAACTCGCCATCGGCGTTTCTGTCTCCGTCTGCACGGTGGCAATTCTATCCCTCTTTGCATACTTTATCTACCGCCGGCGAGCTATAAACCAGCCGGAGTCGCGAAAGCTCGTTGTCCATTCTCCCCGCTTCGCGGCTCCCGACCGCCCTGTCGCTGCCGCGGACTTCCTTTATCTTGGGACAATGGAGCCCACCGTCCCCGACGCACAGCGATTAAGTGCCGAGTCGAACGGGTCTCCCTATCGTAAGCTCAGCTCGGAGATTGAACGGGTCGTGGAGATGCGTCACCCGAGCCCAGAGCTTCAGCCACTTCCGCCGCTTCGCCAGCATCCTCCACCGCCGCCACCGCCGGTGTTGGCGGCCTCCTCCGATGATGACACATATTATACGCCCAAGCGCTCTGCAGCTTCGAGAAACAGTGAGAGCCCCGGGAGCCCTAGATCTCACCGGAACCAACCCGATTCTATCGCCGGTAAGGAGGTTCCTCGGTCCCGGAGATCTTCTCCAAGGATGCAGATATCTGATTACTCGCCTTCTGATGTCAAACGCGAGATTTCGCCTAACACTCATCCTCCTCCGCCGCCGCCTCCACCACCTCCTCCTCCTCCTCCGCCTCTCACTCCGAAGACGGAGAAAATTACTAAACTGCCACCGCCATCGATTCAGCCTCAGTTTAACAGAGTAATTAGCGAATTAAACGAAGTTGTTAATTCGCCATTGCCGTCATGGCCGTCATCAAGACGTCAGCTTTTGAGGCCCTTGCCGCCGGAGGATGCTGCTCGTGCTGACGTGCAGCGTTCAATTAATGCTCGGCTTGTCAGTGGTGGCGGGAGTTCGTCTTCGAAGCCCGTTGACGATGAAGAGGGCGATTTAGATAGCGAGGAAAAGCCTAAGCTAAAGCCCTTACATTGGGATAAATTCCGGGCAAGCTCTGATCGGGCAATGGTTTGGGACCAGCTGAAATCTGATTCATTTCAGTATGTTATTCAAAATACCCCGCCTTCTTTTCTATTATTCTATAAGAGAAATTCCAACAAACATCTGATATGCATGCTTTTCTTCCTCCTTTTATTTTCAGTTTGAATGAAGATATGATTGAAGCTTTGTTTGTGAACAATTCGACTGCTCCCCCTCCAAAAGAACAGAGCAGGAGAGCGATCCTTCCACCATTGAAGCAAGAAGATAGAGTGCTCGATCCAAAGAAGTCGCAGAACATTGCGATACTCTTGCGAGCATTGAATGTGACAAGAGAGGAAGTATCTGAAGCTTTGTTAGATGGTAAGCGTTATGATTTAGGGTTTACTTTGATATTGTTTTCCTCCATACTTAAAAAATTAAGCTTCACGCTCACCATTTTGTCTTCACTTTTCTTATGAAATCTCTGAAACTTGCTGGTTTAGGACTATTTGAGTCTTGACTACAAGGTTATAGCTTACAGTTGATTATTTAACTTAGTCTTATTTTTATTTCATTCGCCTTTTATGGATCATAGATTTTTATTTTGCTGCAATGGGTTAAAATCTATGGCTCGAGCTTTGTAAGCATCTACCTGTCACCATGTTAGATTATATTTTTTGGGGGAAGAATTAATTAGGAATTCCATGAACTGTCGTAACTCAAAAAGACAACTTATTGAATAAATCATTCAAAGGAACTCCATGTTGTTTTTGTCTACATGTACCTAATTTGTTTGTACATCACTTGTGTTCATGAGATTATTCTCTGAAACTTTTTTAATAGGTTTATTCCTATCATGCTTACATGTTACCCATGCCATCATGCACCATTGAATATCTATTCTGGCACCCACCGAGGCTTAGGTTGGTTGGTGGGCGAGCACGGTTGGGAAACCCCTATCCCGGGTTCAAATCCCCCCTACTACGGTCTCGCCTCTTCAGTGGGAAAAAGCAAGCGTGGGCCCAATGCTGGTGGGTGGCCTCACTAGGTTCTGCTGAGGGATTAGTTATGCCGCTAAGTACTCCATTTGAAGTAGCCGCAAATAGATACCCCCGTTCAAAAAAAAAAAGAAAAAAAGAGTATCTATTATGGCAGGCGTTCATTGACTTTTGTCTTTTTATATAACACTTGAACTGATATATTTGCTTGTTTTTTTTTTCCATTGAGAGACACATAACATTAGAATGCAACTCAAGCATATCAAATATTCTTATGAATTTCCTTCAGCCAGTTTATAATTTGACAAATCATTAAAAATATGTAAAAATAAATCATTTTTTAATGGATGCATCCTTCTACTCATCTTTTTTTCAAAAATCCTATAGCAAATGGAATGGCATGGTATATATACTGTATGCAAAAAACTAGATATACGCAATCAAGTATCACAGTAATGAAGAAGGGCATGCCCATAGAAAATTAGAAAATGTAAGATGTAAACGATAAACGAAATGCAAGACAAAGTTCAAAGTAAATGACATAAAGGACATGTTGCAGCTAGGGGGAGCATTTTTTAAAGAGGCAGCCCATAAATAATATGAAATATTCTTATTACATAGAATATTCTACACGGCCATAGATGTAGAAGAATTCATATTTGCAAAACATTAAATCTTTGTCTGTGTTGTTCTTGTGATTTGTCTTTTGTTCTTTTATTTATGTTCTTGGAGTGAGTATTAAAGTCCGGTTCACGAGGAACAATCAGAGCGATGGTTCTGGTAGAAGGAAAATTGAGGGTGAAATATTTGATGGATTTGAGTTTTGTTTCTAGACTATATAGATTAAAGATAATCATTCAAAGAAGTTGTGTCAACCTCTTTGTTGTGGTAGCAACTAACAGGGAAGAAACAGATAACTAGCAAGAACAATGAAACAATAAACACTAAAAAGTGAGTATATTCAGTATATCAAAAACTATCTTCCTGAAGCTTCAACCTGCCTCATATAGGAGGGGATGCATTACTAAGAGAGTGCTAAACAGCTGAAAAAGTGCGAGTGTCCTCTAATACTATATTTAGTAGTATAAGTAGTGGGAATATGCAGCAAACGGTAAAAGAAATAATGCTCTAGGTGTGATACTCCTGCAGCATAACTTGAGAGGAAGATTCCACATCAGTTCTCCTCCGCTATAGAAGGATTCGTATCCAACGAATCAATTTCAACAACTGTCGAATCAGCTGGATGGTAGGAACTGATGTCCGCGACGTTGAATGTGGAGGACGTCAAGACGTCGGCCGGAAGTTCCACTTCATATGCATTATCGTTGATTTTGTGCTTGATAGCTACTGGACCAATCTTCCTTGGGGCGAGCTTCGAGTAGGTGCCGGCTGGAAATCTCTCTTTCCGTAAGCGCACCATGACCATGTCACCAGGCTGGAAAGTCTTGAAGCGGCGATGTGCATCAGCCTTTTGTTTGTACAACTCATTTGAAGCCTTTAAGGTGTTGCGAACATTGTCCAACATTGTCTTGAAATCCTCCGCTAGCTTGGTGGCCGCCGGGTTTTGGCACTTAGGTAGAACGGCGACGTCTACAACATGATTAGGAGGTTTAGTGTAGACAATATTAAATGGACACATACCAGTGGATCTGTTGGGCATGGAATTGTATGCGAATTCTGCCTGACTCAGAATGTCGTCCCACTTCTTCGGATTGTCCTGCACCAAGCATCGCAACATATTCCCGAGCGTGCGATTCACCACCTCGGTTTGACCATCCGTTTGAGGGTGATATGCTGAGCTTAATTTGAGTTCTGTTTGTAGTTGCTTCCAAAGCTCTCTCCAAAAATGACTAACGAACTTGACGTCGCGATCGGAAGTGATGCTTCTCGGGAGGCCATGCAGGCGAATAATCTCCCTGAAAAATAATCGAGCAATGCCAAGTGCATCTGACGTCTTCTTGCAAGCTATAAAATGAGCCATCTTGGAAAACCTGTCAACCACCACCATGATTGAATCGACGCCCCTCTTCGTTCTTGGAAGTCCAAGGACAAAGTCCATACTAAGATCTTTCCCATATTGAACTCGGAACAGGCAACGGACTATATAAACCGGTGTTTTGGCTATGGCCTTTGTACACTTGGCACACCGGGCCGTTTTGTACATACTTTGCAACATCCCTCCGCAAATGTGGCCAAAAGAATCGCGCCGCATTTGTTCTACTGTCTTTTCTCGGCCTAAGTGAGCTGCCATTCCTCCTTCATGCATCTCACGCAGCAACTGTAAACGAACAGAGGAGATAGGGACGCATAACGAATTCCCCTTGAACAAAAATCCATGACGTAAAGTGTAGTCATCCACGGGCTGTCCACTGGAACATCTCTCCCAAGGGATAGCAAAATCCCTGTCCGTGCAATAGAGATCTTTGAGAGTCTCTAAACCAGTAATTTCTGTTTGAAGCTGGACTAGGAGAGCGGAGCGCCTACTCAAGGCGTCAGCAACACGATTCTACTGCCCGGATTTATGTTTAAGTACAAAGCTAAACTTTTGTAGAAAGACAAACCATCTAGCATGCATTCTATTGATATTTTTTTGGGTATTCAGAAACTGTAAAGCTTTATTATCGCTGTATAGAATAAAATCATTATGCAAAAGATAATGCTCCCACTGTTTAAGTGCTCGGATGACCGCATATAATTCTTGTTCATACGCCGACCACCTTTGTCTTGCAGGGCTTAACTTCTCACTGAAAAACTCCACCGGTCTATCGTCTTGCGAGAGCACGGCGCCCACTCCCACTGCCGAGGCGTTGGTATCCACATGAAAAGCCTTGTTAAAATTAGGGGCTGCTAACACTGGTGCTGAAGTAAGTGCCAATTTGATTGTGTCGAAGCTTCGCTGCTGCTCGACTCCCCATTTAAAAGTACTGGCCTTTAGGCAGTCGGTGATTGAGGCCATAATTATGCTAAATCCGCGGATGAACCGTCTATAAAAATTGCTAACCTGTGAAAGCTACGAATTTCTGTCAGAGAGCTGGGTTGCGGCCACTGTTGTATAGTGAGAATTTTATTGGGGTCCATTCCAACACCTTCAGCCGACACAATGTAGCCCAAAAACTGCACCGAACTGGTAGCAAATTCGCACTTGGACTTGTTCAGGTATAACTTATGGAGTCGCAGCACCTCTAGGACCTCCTGCAAATGTTTCCAATGTTCTACCAAGGATGGGCTGAATACCAATATGTCATCAAAGTAAACCACATAGCACTTGCCCAATAACAGTTTTAGCACTTCTGTCATCAGCCTTAAGAACGTTGCCAGGGCATTGCACAGGCCGAAAGGCATAACCCTCCATTCAAACAGGCCATTGCGAGTTTTGAAAGCGGTTTTCCACTCGTCGCCCGGTCGAATTCGGATCTGGTGGTACCCGCTTCTCAAGTCGAGCTTTGAAAAGACTTTGGCCCCCGCCAAATAGTCTAGCATGTCTTCCAACCTTGGAACCGGGAAGCGATATTTGAGGGTGATTTTAGTGATAGCTCGACTGTCAATGCACATTCTCCACGATCCATCTTTCTTTGGCACTAAAAGTGCCGGCACTGCACACGGACTTAGACTAGGCTGAATAAGCTGCTTATCTAATAGCTCGTCCACAATTTTCTGAAGTTGAAAGTGCTCTGTTGGGGTCATTTTATAATGTGGCAAGTTTGATAGTGAGGCCCTGGGAATTAAATCTATTTGGTGATGTATTGACCGCATGGGTGGTAATTCATGAGGTAGGCTTGCTGTAACTATGTCTGAAAATTCATCCAGCAACTGTGCCAATTCCGGTGGGACGCTGACAGGTTTGATCTCCCGATTTTCTTCAGCAATTAAAACTACAAATATTGACTTCAACTCCCTACCAGTCTTTAACAGGGTATTGCCAGAAACAATGCAAAGAGCAGGACGCCGTTCAACATCTTCGTCGGTTGAGCGCTGTGTCGTAGGCAATAATCGTAATTTACGACCTTTCCATTCAAATGAATAAGCATTAGCTCGCCCGTCGTATATGACACCAGTATCAAATTGCCATGGCCAGTCCAGAATTAAGTGGCATACGTCCATATCAAGGACATCACATAGTATTTCAATATTATAATGCTTTCCAATTGAAAAATTTACCCTGCACATATCGGACACTTGAATGTCCATGCCTTTCTTAACCCAGCTAATCCTATAAGGATTCGGGTTCTTAGTAGTCTTAAGCTGCAATGCGTTCACTACTACCCTCGAAATAATATTTTCGGTACAACCATTGTCAATCAAAAGATCACATACCTTCCCTTTTATAGTACATTTGGTCCTGAAAATAGCATTGCGTTGGGATTTAGTGTGTTGGTTCGGTGC